GTCGTCTATCCACTCACCGGCAACGATGACCTGATCGCGGCAGGGCTGGTCCCCGAGGACGACGACGACATCCATGATGACGCTGCTGCATTGTTGGGTATTGATGTCGGTAGCGGCTCTGCTCCGATCGATCTAGACAGTGGCGATGGTGGTGGAGGGGCGGCGCCGACGCCATCGGCGACGGCGACAGGGACGCCGGTCGGCTCCAACAGCACAGATGGTATCTCATCTCTTGGTAAGCATAAATCTGATGTCTGGGTTGATTTTGATGAGATCTATGAGACTGCGAATGGTTCAAAGATTCGAACTGCTACTATCTGTAAAATATGTAAGAGTAAATTGTCTGCTAGATCTTCTGCTGGCACTGGTCATTTGATTAGGCACCGTAAATCTTGTAGGAAAAAGGTGATGATCATCTGCGAGGGTTCGGATCTAGGCTTTCTTTCAACTCGATGGATCTATGCATAATCGGGACTACAATCCTGGCATTATTTAACTCGAGTTGTGTCGGTTGATTAATAGGCTTGACCTTCCATTAGGTATAGGTGAGACACGTGCCTAGGAGGATTACATTGTTCTTGCTCATAACCCTAGGTTTGCTAAGGTTTCTAGAGATGCACCACCACTAGAGATCTTGGTAAGTCGCATTTGTTTCATCGAACGTCGTGATATGCTTAAGAATTTTATGTTGCCGGCTGCTTCTTTTGTTGCTTTGACTTCAGACATTTGGTCTGATAATGCTAAGGAGGACTATATTAGTGTTGTTGCTCACTATGTGAATACTGATTGGGAGTTACAGAAAATGATTATTGGTCTTAGGCTGATTGAGATTAAATATTCTGGTGAAAACATTACTAAAAGAATTGCTGCTGTGGTTGAGGAGTATTGTCTGATTGACAAGATTTTCTCTGTCACTCTAGACAATGCTTCTTCTAGTGCTAAGGCTATGAACACTTTGACACCTCTATTTGCTGGTTACTTGGGTCCTGATCCTTCACCTGATCCTTTGGATCCTAGTAACCGTAAGTACAGTCTTGTACATCAACGTTGTGCTTGTCATATCATTAATCTCATTGTAAAATCTGGATTAAAGAGGTTGAAACCTTACACAGAAGATTTTAGAACTACAATTAACTTCTTAAATTCCTTTAATTAAAGAATTGCATTGTTCAAGGAATATTGTAATGCTAAGGGTGTTAGACCTAGAAAGTTTGGCTTGGATATGGATATTAGATGGAATTCTACTTACCTGATGCTTAAACACTTGCTTCCATACAAGAATGTCTTTTCTGTGTTCATTAATTCCCATTATGATTCACAATTGTTGGCTATAAATCATTGATATTTTGCTGAGAAGTTATTGGAGTTCTTGAAACTCTTCTATGACTCCACTGTTGTTCTGTCTGGTGTTTATTATCCTACAAGTCCACTTGTTCTGCACCATATCCTAGAGATTGCTTCTCATTTGTATGCATGTGAAAAAGATCAAAACCTGAGAGCTATTGTATACCTATGAAGGTTAAATTCCTTAAATATTGGCAGGACATACCTTTGTTATATTCATATGCATTCATTCTTGATTTTAGAGCTAAGATGAGAGGTTTCTTTAATGTGCTACAATTACTTGGTGAATACACTGGTTCTGAGTACAGTTCATACTATGCTGATGTTAAAACTGAATTGTATAAACTGTTTAACAAATATGAGAGCAAGTTTGGTGTAGCTTGGTCTCAAAGGTTTGCACAACCATCACATCATACAGGTAAGAAAAAGCAGGCATGGGGAAGAATCTTTGGCCGTAGATCAGATGTTGTTGGTCATTCCCCTCTCCCTACCACTTCATCTTCGTCTACTTCTGCTGTTTGTGAGTTCTCAGCTTACTTAGACAGTGACGATGTCACTTCTTATGCGGATGATTTTGACCTACTTCTATGGTGACGTGACCACAAGCTAATCTTTCCAATCATGACTATAATGGCTAGAGATATCATATCAGTTCATGTATCTACTATCTCTTCGGAGTCTTGTTTCAGTTTGACAGGTAGGATAATTGAGGAATGGCGGCGGCGCTTGTCACCAGAGACTGTGTAGATGCTAACCTACATAAAGGACTGGGAGTTAGGAGAAAAAAAGGAACAACATGCTGTTGACAACCAAGAGCTGAAAGACTCATTCCAAAACTTGTACCTTGATGAAGATGAAGCTGCTGGTGGTGCTCCTGGTACTTAGTGAGGTTGAGACTTGACTCTTGAAAGTGTGTGTGATCTGTGACTGTGAAAGAGTGAGTGTGACTGTGAAAGACTTATCTATCATTTGAACAATGGTTTGTAAGACTTAATTAAGAGTTGGCTGCACTCTTTTTTTCTTTCTAAGGTTTCTCACAAGGGTGAGTTTTACCTATAAAGGTTTTTAATGAGGCAGCATTGCACTAAACTCATTTTGGTTATTTCTGTTATCTGTTGGCTTTGGAGTTTGGAGTTTGATATCTCTGTTGGACTTTGAATGTATCGGACATTTGGACTTTTATTCTGTGAATGTATGAAACTGTGATATGTGAATGTATTGGACATTTCGAGTTTTCGACATTGATTCTGTGAATACAAGGGTAACGGGCCGTGGGCTGGCATGGCCCGTAATTCTGGTCGTGCTTCGCGGGCCGGCATGGCACGAAAAATGGCCCATAGTGTTGTGCTTGGGTCGAAGGCCAGTGCCGTGTGGCCCTAAGAGGCACGCGGCTTGGGAGGTTCCGGCGTCGTGCGTGCCGGCCCGATCCCTATCGGGCCGTGCTTTCACCAGCCCGTGCCTCAGAGAAAGCAAAGGCCAAGGCTTCAAAAAAGGGGCGCATTCTAATGCAGAGAGCTCTCGCTGAAAGTGGGTCCGGGAAGGGTGTTAGTGGCAAGCCTTACCCTTACCTGTGCAATATGAGGAGACCGCGACTCGAACCCGGGACCTTCCGTTCACAGGCGGTAAGACTCTACCGCTTGCACCAGGCCCGCCCTTCAAGGGGCCGGCGCTTCAACTTTCCAAAAATTGCAAATTTATGAGGACAGTTTTGCTCTTGATTTCTTTGAAGGATGAGACTATAGAAGGTAAGTACATGCCATTTCTAACACCTTTTAAAGGTTTAGCACTAGATTACTTGATTAATTAGGTTCTCATTTTTCTCTCTTTGCATGCTTCAGGCAACTATAAATGAAATTGGATAAAACCTTTGAAGGTCTTAGGTTCAATTTAGTTGGGAAATAAGATCCTAACCTTGTTTAGTGGCCATGTCTTGATTTTTTACGGTCTATTATTTAGTTTTTTTCTGGATAGTGATTGTTTGGATCCATGATTAGATCTAGATCTAGAATTATTTTGTTAGTCAATCAATTGGTTTAGTTTGTTTTTGAAAGAAATTAAGTTTGCATCCAGCAAATTCTCAATATTGACGAAGTCACCGTCGATGAGGTGCAATTAAGGCTTTCTTTAACCACTAGGCTCTTCAATGTGTTGATTACATAGAGTAAAAATTAATGTGTTGTTTCTACAGTAAATTATAAAAGTGAAAATCAGAGAGGGCTCATCCTGACCGATCTTTTTTATTTCGCCTATATACTTTCTCTAGCAGCAGCAGGCATGACACGAATCGATCAACGTACTCAGAACCACGTGCTTAGTAAACTATGACAAAATCTGTCCATTTCTCGCTTTTCCATACCTGGCAAGTGGAAAAGCTAGATACGGTCACCGGTGGCCCATCCGTATCACCTCAGCTAACACATACCATGGAAATCAGCTTAAGAAGTCACACTCGTCAGGTATTTCTTCCTTCGCTTAGTCGACCTATGGATCATCAGATTGACGTCGCAAATCGCACCAGTGAACTAACCAAACCGATCAGTGGTTTCCCATCAACTCACGTGTAAATCGAGAAAGCAACATGAATGAATGTCCCCTGTTCTGACCAAGAGTCAAGAACAACCGGACATATCACAGCAGAGCTCCCTGCCCCCTCTTGGATGCCGGATCTCGTCCTTTCCGGCTCTGCACCCATTTTGCACATGGGCGTGCACCTTTCCGGTTTCTGGATTTTGTCTTAGATCTTTGGCAGTAGATACGGTTCAGACTTCAGAGACATCAGGAACGTGTAACTCGAGAAAGTAACTCCTGTCCGGCTGTCACTACTCCCTGGAGCTGGAGGCAGTGCACTGACTGGATTGCGTTAGGACGCGACACGTCCAGGTCTTATTTAATAAATACTATGTATGAAGTGTCACTACATATATGGCTTTCTTGAATAAGCGAATGAGCGGCAATTCATACTTCAGATCAGTATCTTAAAATTTTGGAGTTTAGAACCTTTGCAGAAAGCATTCACCTTTACATTTACATTTTATGCAACTGTATCTCTGGAGCAGAAAATCTAATAGCGCAGATAAGATGCATGTCCAGCTTAAAAACACAACGGAAACAGCAGTACAGCACGCAGAAACATAATTTTGGCTAGACTTTTCATAGCAGAGTAGCAGCACCACTTGATGCAGCGTGATACATCTTAGATTAGGGTTGCAGGCACAGGAACGTCTTCAGTGTTAAAACGTGACAGTAGTTAAAAGACAATCTAGCTCTCAGTCCTGAACATCAACAAAAGGTTACAGCTACGCTTCAGAAGCCGGAGCGTGATTGCCGCTGGTTAGTTCTGAATTCTGATCCTACTTGCTACTACATTGCTTCAGGCCGTGAACTTTACAGGACGGGCCTTAGCTAAACCTTTCACAAGTTCAGAGAAACCACCAATGCACCTACAGTTTCCAGCTCCCGAATGAAGTGTTCCAACATCGTCGTTTGCGCGATGACAAGGCCAAACAGCTTGGGTGCGGGAGCTTTCTGAATTTGGGCAGGGCTTCGTATGATCACAGGGGTCGGTCTCGGTGCAAAAGCCATGGACAGCGCTTGGCAACTGTTGTCTCCTTGACGTTGTGATACCCTTCGAAACAGGCATTTCTTGGACCAGGGTGTCACTTTGCACCCATGTGATGCACAAACTTTTTGTTACCCTGCGGCACCTGTTTTCCCAGTACCCATCCTGCGCTTGAACACTCCCCACAGATAGTGTTTCCTTGGAACGCTACAAAAGACAAGGTTTGATAAGTAAACTGAAAATATTAGCCATAGAACAAAGTAAAACTGTCAGAGCTCTAAGCTACAAGAATTCAATAGCAAGAAAGTAAATAACTTTTTAAGTGCACTTGGACAGTACAAGCAATATAATGCAAAATTGCACCGAGGCACATTGCCATCAAAGTTCATGGTTGCAAATTTAAAACAGGAGCACTGCCATATCGTATCTATGATATTTGTAAATTACATTGTAAAATCGACAATTTCGTACTTACTTTGACATTGCTCTGGTAGGAAAACAGAAGGGAAGATCAGCAGCTTGGCAAAGCCAACGACATATTTTAGTACTAAGCTATGATCAGTGAGATAATGCACTAGTTGATCCAGTTCCCTACAAAAGTAACAAGTACATTTTAAACCATGTACCTGAAAATACAAAACAAGCAATTGTCCATATGGTAGGGCGGTAGATCACACACCTCATATTATCTGAGAAGAAATACAAGCCAATGCATTCAGCAGATGGTTTTGATGCCTTCCACCTCCCTGGCCAGGCTTTCAACTTCGAATGCTTTGTTACTTTCATTAGTGCTGGTAATGATAGTGATAATTCCTGCACCTCCTTGCATGCTTGATTTGACAGGTGTGCAGCCAATGAAATATACTCCTGGCCAATCTTCATGATTCCACTATCAGCATAAAACATGAGAAACGTTAGCACTGCAGAGAGAGAAAAATATTGAAATGCTTTAGAATGGGATTAAAGGCATCTAACATACGTCCAGTAAGGTTTATCAATGGGTCGCGTGCAAATAAAGCTTTGCTGATCTGATGCTAACCGTGCAGCATCATTCCGTGTGCATGGAACACTAGCATTCCCTAGAGGTGCCTTTTTATCTTTGTTGGCCCTTCTCGGCTTCCTTGCCTTCATATCATCATTGGCATGTTGATTATTTGAATTTCCTGGAGACATCGCTTCCTCAGAATTTTCTGCGGATCTTCGCTGCTTCATCACACAACTTTTCACATGTCTCCTGCGCATCCTCACTTCCATCTGCATTGCCTTGGCATCTTCATCATATGATAAAACAGGCCGTTTTCTTTTCTTGGCCATGACATACTCAAAAGTTCTTAGAGATTTAGAACATCTTGGTTCTGCAACATTGGCATCATTTACTTCCTTAATTTTTGGAGATAAATACAAGGAAGCACTTAAGCAAGTACGATCAATTTTCTTTGATGGCCTACAACTTCTTATATGTGCAGGATCTGTATTTCTGTCCTTCATAACGAGCTTGGTTTTCTGATGTTTAGTATGACGTGGAATATGTCTGTTTGGCCCTTTATATTGCTTTCTGAAGCTACTTTTTGTTGCCTTACGTGGACTAACATGCTTGGAAGGCAATGGCATCTTCCATTTGTGATGTTTGCCTACAAGCCACATTTTTGGCAATTGAAACCAAAGTCTTGGGTACATCATTTTGGAGATTCTTCCCTTCAGCACTGGCTTGGGATAGTAATTTCCGTTAAAATCATTGCAACTGCGATGAACTTCATCTGACCTATTTGCTTCATCTGAGTTGTCATTTGCTTCATCTGAGTTGTCTGCGTTAGAAACCAAGCATTCTTTTGGTGTCAAGGGATTTAATGCCTGGACATTATGCAGTGCCGGGGTCAAAGTTCCCATGCCTAACAAGCATTCTGTAATTTCAGCACTGTGTTTTTCAACAGCTGAGGCTCCTTCTCCATTTGAGGAACTTGATGGCTCTGCTGAGGGATTTGATCCCTGGACATTATCCAGTTCAGGGGTGACAGTGTCCATGCCTGACAAGCATTCTGTTTTTTCAGTATTGTCTTTCTCAACAGAAGTGCCTCCACCATTTGAAGAACTTGATGGCTCTACAGTATTTGACATTAACCTTGAGTCCATCCGCTCCTTGGAAGGATCCAAGACATCCATATTCCCAACATCTAGATCTGATCCTTGCATTGGCTGTGAGTAGTTTGATGGAGGCTTCGATCTTAGGATACTATTTGGCGCATCATCCCATGGTCTAACCACCTCCAACAGATCAGGTTGCTCCCAACTTTCTGACGTAGGACTAGAACCATCTACTTGCTCCTCACTTGACCATATGGGACTAGTTTTATCGGTAAAATTGGGATGGGTTTGCTCAACATATTCAACTGAAGCAAATACGCCAGGCTCCGCTCCTTGTTCGTCAAGTTTTAACCTTGAGTCCAACCACTCCTTAGAAGGATCCAAGACATCCATATTTCCAACATATAGATCTGATCCTTGCATTGACTGTGAGTAGTTTGAAGGATGCTTTGATCTTAGGATGCTATTTCGCACATCATGCCATGGTCTGAGTATAACCACCTTCAAAGGAACAGGTTGCTCCCAACTTTCTGATGCAGGACTAGAACTGTCTACTTGCTCCTCAACATCTTGAACTGAAGCACATAAGCCAGCCTCCGCTCCTTGTTCTTCGATTTCAAATGCACGGCCCACAGGTGAATGGCTTGTACCATCAGGATTAACCATCTCCAAAGGATGAGGTTGTTCCGCATTTTCCAATACACCATCTTTTTGCTCCATATTTGGTACTGTAGGGCAAGAACTATCCGTAACACATGGATAGGATCTCTCAACATCATTGATTAAAGGAAGTAAGTCAGGTTTTGTTCCTTGAGGGAACCCTTCAACACAATTCAGTGAAAAAGAGCAGCTATCTTTTTCCATTGAGAGGTCCAGACACTCCATTGTGTTCATAGTAGGTCCAACAGCACCCGCTGTCTTTTGTATTTCTACAGTAAGGTCAGAAGCTGAATGACTTGAACCATCAGCACTTTCTGGTTGATAAAATAAGTGGTCATTTGTACTTTCCCCTTCCTCTAAAACATCATTGCGCTTAAACTTTTTCACGACAAACATTTCAGAAGAATTGAATGTATCTGCACTCGGAAAATGTTTAGTGGAGGCATCAGAACTATCTCTTCTTGCTTTATGCGATCTACGCTCACGACACCCCATGTACTATACCTTGCCTTGTGCGACCTATGTTCATTTACACCCCCACGATTAAGGGTTCCTTTGTCACCTCTACTCTATTCACATTTGGTTCATTAATTATAGAACCCAATTGAATAGAGTAGTGGTCATCACAGCTAGAGTCATCGGGAACATGGAACCATGTAACGCTCCTCGTTTCGAGAACATCATTCATGTTCTGGGGGCGCGAGAACATTCTCACCCCTGCCTTGTTAAAACCTTCCTCAAATAGCCTGTTGTGTTCCTCGATCACGTTCCTTGACCCCTTCCACCGAGGAACTTTGTGACTATGATCACAATTCCACTCTAATGATTTCGGGACTTCATTATGTTTTGGGGGGCAATCATCACACAACCATTCAAATGATGAGGCATCATAAATTACCGGATCCAAACAATATCTACAAAACCACAAACAACGCTTAGTTAGGGATAGATCTTCTATGGCTCGAGGTCATAGAAGTATACAGGTAATATGAGGAATAATTAACTACAATTAACCCTACCAACTTGATTGTTTAAGCGAATTTTTTGGAAGGGTGAGTGTTTAGGTGGCAAAGGCTCTTTTGAAGTCCCTTGTTTGCTTTCATGGCATAAAAAGTTCAATGGGCATGGTCAAGGCCAAGACATGTTCGAAACAATGGAAAGGTGTTGGAGACATCAAGATCAAGAGCAATCTAGTGTTAGGGGCTGCTGGCCTCAACCCTCCCCTACTCTCACCCACGATCCCGAGGAAGGTCAACACCGTATGTTGAAGAAACGGGCGACGCAGCAGTGAAGGTCCTTGACGCTAGAGGCAGATCTAGTGCATTAGGCGTAGCCCATCCTTTAGGGACCCCTGCCTAATCAACACAACATGATAAGAATGATGGCATGTCAAGATCACATGAAACTATTGTGGCTAGGGATGCCTTGTCTAGTGACCAAAGGGAGGTTAGCTTTGTGGTGGATAGGGTGGTAGGATGCCACTGGTCGTGGGGTGGTGCACCAAGGCAAGTGGTAGGGAGTCATGACATCCTACTCTTCTTAGTTCATGAGAAAGGGTTCGAATTGGTAATATCACAACCTACATTTTGGCTTTGTGGCCCAAGCGTGCGTGTGCTTTGGGGTTGCACCTACCTTAATAATTAGGTAGATCTGATTCCTTAAGCCTTTAAGTTCCTGACATAGCACCTAGGTAAATTGGTGCAAATCAAGGATGAAAGTGTGAGAAAGGCGAGAGGGTCTCTAGTTGAGTTGGTTAAGTGCCTTGAGTAGCACTCCTCAGGTCCTATGTTCAACTCCCGTGGGAGCGAATTTTCAGGCTGGGGTTAAAAAAATCCCCTCGTCTGTCTCACGCCAAAGCAGAGGTCTAAGGTCTGGACCTAGTCATGGTCGTTCTAACATGGGCTACGGTGCCGCTATGTATGGGTAGAGCAGGGGTTCGGGGAACTTCTAGGCCTGCGTGACAAGGTCTTCTTCTTAATGCAGTGTTGGGGATTGTCTTAACCCCTGAAGGTCGAGTTTTTTAAGTGTAAGAAAGATGTTATGGTTGTGACATTGTGGGGGTTAGGATCAATGTTCAAAAAGGCACTAAGGCGATTTCTAGGCGATGACCCATAGCCTACAGCCTAGGCGAGCCTAAGCGAGCCTAGGCGCTTTTATATATATACTAATATACATATATTATCTTTCTAAAAGAAAAATAAACAACCTGAATAGTGGGCTTAGATAGATAGAAAGGCCCAAGAGGCAAGAGTCCAACCATCTCCCACTTTAAGTCTCCAACCTTATCCATCTCTCCAGCTTCTAGCCAGACTCGACGCCCTTCCTCGTCCGCGGCCACACTCAACACCCTTCCTCATCTCCTCAGATCAATCGCGCCACGGTTCCTCTCCCTCTTCGGCATCTCTCTCTCTCTCTCCTCTAGTGCATGCCGCTTGGCCGCCTCGCTACCAAGATGCGTCTGGTTACTCCCCACCGACGACCTCCGCCAGACGCTCCTCCCCCACCGGCGCTGCCGACGAGCTGGAGTCGCCTAGGGGGTCCGCCTACCCCCTAGGCCAGGCCGGACCCCCTCGCCTAGTGCCTAGTCACGCCTAGGTGGACGCCTAATGTCACCTTTTTTGAACATTGGTTAGGATGTAAAATGGTTTTGGGTGTGGGGTGCTACACAAATAGACTTTTTTGGAGTTGGGATTTTACTACTTACTAAAAGGTGTTGTTTCACTAAGCTCCGTGTTTGAGGTCCATGCTAAATTTAGAATCTATGATAAATTGAAGGGCTTTAGACCTATGTGTTTAATCTAAAATGAGAAAACGAATGGCTCAACTCAATACTAAAGTCACCTCAGCACCCAGCTCCAAGAATTTCTATAGTTAGGAATGAGTAACTACAAAAAGTATTAGACCTAGAGCTTCGCCAAACAAGCCCTAATTACAATGAGACTAGACTGCATGGCTCTTAAGAAAGTGGAATGTAAAAAAAAGTAAAATGCACCATGAGTCCTTAGAACTTTTTATGGACTCTCAATTAGGTCATAGAACTAAAGTGACCATGTAGGTCCTCAATCTACTGTAGATTCTCACATGAGTCCAACTAAAAAAGTGACCATTTAGGTAACTAATGATGCGCCCGAGAAGAGGTCCAAATCCCACCACATCACCTTTGTATGCCTAATGGTTCTGCCAGTCACAGTCACACTGATCGTGGGTCTTAGTGGGGTTCCATGTCCCGTGAACGGTCATTCCGAATCGTGGTTCTAGGACGGCGTGGCACAACGACGGGTCAATGTTTGGGATGTGAGTCGGGATGATGTCCCAAAGCACACCAAATCATAGAGACATATGCCCTACACACCCGGGAACTTAAAATTGTTGATCCACGCCCCACATACGCATTCCACTTGCAGAAGAACCCTCCATCCCCTCTCTTCCATGTACACTCCTCTACCTCCCGTTGGTCCCGTGCGTGCACGGCCTCAGCAGCTACACCCAAGACGCCTCCCAGGCTCCGGAGGCACATGCTCGGCCATGGAACAAACAAAGAGAGGTGGGCTGCAAGATTGGCAAGGGCTGCTAGGGGAGAGAGATGGAGGGTAGGGGATGTTTTTTTTTTTTGCAACCTTAATCTGGCGTGTCCACATAGGCAATTGTCATGGCATGGCGGGTTTTGGACCTTTAGTCGAAGCGCAACAGAGATTGAGGACTTAGATGGTCACTTTTTTAGTTCGTGGACCCAAATGAGAATTAGCAATTGATTAAAGACCTAGATGGTCACTTTTATTAGTTCAAGGACTCAAATGAGAATCCTAAAAAACATTTGGGGCTTTTGAACACCATAATGACAAATAAACAAGCAGTCCAGTATGCAAAGATAATCTTATGGATGTGATTAACAAGGACAGAATTGAAGCAAATAATTCTCTATAAAATGTTAATAAATCATGCATCCAAGCAATTCCAAACTTCATTACGACAAGATAATCAAAACTCATGCATTTGTTTTGTTCTTTTACTTAGGAACTTTAATTTGAAAATAGAAGACATGAAGACTTTGAAGAACAAGTAGAAAGAGAAGTTACAGGTGCCTCGCAGCGTTCTTGCAGTTGCTACATTGTACTAAAAGCTGCCCGTAGCCAACAACACCACACACTTCACAAACGATGTCCTACATAAAAGTGCAAACATGCAAATTTGGTTAATTTACAAAACCTCCCAATTTTTAAAACAACAAGCCTTCATGGCCTAAGTAAGCGCATATCAAAGTGTGCTTGCATCCTGGCAAGGTGCTTGCCAGCAGGATTTCTCACGATTCTCCCAATATGAACTGTAGTTGATACACAAAATCCAACACCACAAAAAAAAATCTCAATAGTGTTGCACGTTTCTGTACTGTATATTTATCCAGGGCTCCAAGCACCCACCTGATGCTTCAGAGTGTAGGAAATTGCCACAATCTCCTCGAGCTCCGATCTCCTTGTCCATTGACAATGGAAAGGCTTAGGAGACACGGCAGTCATAGCAGTTCCTAGCTCAGTCACAACTATGAGGTCCCATTTGGAAATCAGTATTGAATCTTGGAACGAAACTATGGTTTCGGTCCACAGACCACTGGAGCGTGTTTCTGGATGACAAGATATTTGACTATTTTTATGCAAAACCAGGAGAGCGTCGGACTCCTCTCCCCTCACCGGCTTCTATCTGAATCTGAAGGCTTCCTCGAGCATGAGCCCGCCCTCGCCCCTGCCCCTGCCCCTGCCCCTTCTCAAAATAGTACCAGGCTACCAGCCCATGCCCAAATGCACGAATTCTGCACAAGAACAGGGTAGGGCTAACATAACGCGACTCCATCCGATTCGATTCCCCCTTCCCTCCTGAACAGACATACAATTTGTGTCCTACTAGAGGCAGAGCAAATGTAATCCGCATAATCTCGAACACCTTGCCCTCACACAGAGTTGGTCGGCTCAACCCGCGACTTTAACACTCTCTTCCGAAGAAATTAGCCAACCAAATAACGAAGAGAATCCCGAAATAAACGCGCCACACGAATGAAGAGGATGGGAGCTGGAGCGCGAGTGAGGACCCGTACCATCTCGCAGAGTCGCGGTGCCGTGAGAAGCTCCTCCTCCTCGGCGCTGTGGTCGCCGATGCCGAGATCCGCCCTCCGGAGGGCCTCAACAGCAAGGCGAGAAGGGATTCGGCGCGCGCTGCTGAAACCATGCGCTCTTCTTCCCCATGGCTTCAGCCTCCACCAGATTGCAGAGTGAGCGCCGCCGCCGCTGCGAGCGATAGCGCGTGAGCCTCGGCTTCGAGAGGGGAGGGCAGAAACGGGAGGCGGCTGTAGTGTGTGTGCGCGCGCGCGCTTTGGGCTTTGTTGGCCTCGGGCCTCGGGTCCGCTGAGCTAGGCAGCAACTTTTTTCTCGAAGGGATTGAAGTCGGCAGCTTCGGCGCGACACGTTGGCAGCATGCGCGGTTCACGCACCACGCGTGGCGACGCCACGAGTAACGGTTGGGACACCCGGCGGCCGTCGCGGGGAAGCCTGATTCTGGCGTCTGCGTCTCCGTAAAGGTTTTCTAGATTTGGTTACTAATAATTATTTTTAAAGGTTCCTATTTATCTCTTAGGAAATAAGAAAAATTAAAAATAATCTAATAATAAAATGAGACACTTTCTGGACATTATTTTTAGTTTATCAGATTCAAACAGGCTCTAAGAGTATTTCTTTTTGTAAATCCTCTACTTTATAGGTGAATCTTAATATATATTTAAGCATTGAAGAAAAAAAGTCTACCTATTTACTTGGTCTCCTAGATTTGTTGACTGCCCAAAATCTTATCCTCAAATTTTAAAATTTAAATCTATGAAAATGTGTTATAATAATAATATGTTAAGTCTATATTAGTTTAAATTTTGTTTTCTGTTTAACTGTGGAGGTAAAATGAACATCATTGAGGGTCAACTTGCTGAATTTTGTGAGAAAATAGAATAAAAACTATGTAAGGAGCCTATTTTAGGTAGTCATGTTGGAGATGCTCTAAGTACATTAAAAGCTAAAACAATTCTCTTCAACTAACACTAGCGAAGCTAATGTTTTGTTGTGGTTTTCACGCTTTAAAAAAAAAAAGTGTGACATATAGATAGATAAGTTATGAGTTATAAAAAGAAATAGTTTTTCAATGCAAGCTATTCAAATAATATTATATGAGGATCACTTTATACTTTTTCCAATCTATATTATAGCTAGGGCCACAAGTCCATGCCATTGTCTTCATCTCTGCACTACCACCTATGAAGTTTTATCCTTTCACTTTCAAATCTTCTACCAAATCCAAATAAACTAGCAACTTGGTACTCTAAATCAACTGCCACGCCTTTAGTCAGTCTTTTGGCATCACAAAATTCACCTCCTTTGCTTTCTTTGTGGCCAAAATTGAGAAACTCGCTTTGATTTTTTCCCTTTGCACTCGCCCATGGTTGGAGCTCAGTCCCTTTCATCCACATGGGCCGCACCATGATGCTCAATTTATGATTCATGGCCACTGTCTTATTCTTGTCACGTGCTTGATTTAGTCAGGCTCCAAAGAGCATGGTCATGCTAGAGTTCCTCTTGCCCCAACGCTGCTCCAAATACTCCCTCTACTTTTTGTCGACAAGCAGCTCCCACACTTTTGTGGGTCTCTCCGATACCCTATGAGGCCACCATTTGGTGTGACGTGGAAGCTTGATGCGACATGGAGGTCGGGATAGCAACACACCGTGTCGCGCTAGTGGTCTCAATATGTTTTCATCTTTAAGTTCATTTCTTTAAAACCCAGCTTGTTTAGCTTTTCAAAATCAGCTCAACGGTTGGGTTGTTTACTTGTTTGTTTCAGTTTCGATTGGTAGAAGCCAACAAAAAATCAATCAAACATGCCCGCTCCATCATCTCGTGTTGAGTATTCTTTTCAAAACTTGTGATGACGAAAAAGTCCGTAAACATAAGGCTAAACATATTTGGACCCAATATATACTAGCAAAGTCTCAAGCATTGCAATAAAATGAACAACTTGTTGCACTATTATTTAAATGACTTGTGGCTCGAGATTCATGTATTAGAATCAAAACTGTGCCATTGTTGTATGCACAAACACGCAGGTTCTAACTTTTTTGAAGCCTGCAGGGTTCTAACTCATATGAGCAACATTGATTGTGAATCCAGGGCAAATATATAATAACATCTACACCATCAAATTTGTTTCATTAAATTTTCTATGAAACATATTTGGATGTGCATTTCTTGAAACTTGTAGATGTTATCATATTGAAACTTGGTCCAAACTAGATAGCTTTAGCTTTGGACAAAATCAGTGAACTACCCTCGATCTTGAAATATAAGGGATATAGAGTTTAAAATTTGTACCAAAATAAAATGTATTGTGTACTCAACTCCCTCTCTCCTCAGTTTTTTGACACAAAATACTGAAAGAAAGTAACAACTGAACTAGCCCAACCATCCAATTAGTGAGGGGTAAGGTGGCTTTTTGTCATGCTTCTTATTTTGTCTAAAAAAACTTTTATATATTTCTGTACATATATTGAGTATAATTTGAAACAAAATGAGTAGTTACTATACTGTCATATAACAGTGGAGCGTGGGCTAGTAGCAAAGACAGAGCAAAATCGATTGTTTCAACGTCAAAACCATAGCATGAGGGAGCCCAGAAGCTTGGCCCAAAAGCAAGAGGTCTATGGGCCTTTAAATTTTATCAAACTGAGGGAGGCCCAGTTTCACCTCCATTACCCTCCATCCTTGCTTTTTTTTTTATCTCAACCTGGCCCTCATGGCCTTTCATTGATAGATGTAAACTCGACGATATCGCGAGTTACAAGACTGTTTACAACTGGCATAAATAATAATTTAAGTTTGCACCAACACTTGAGATTTTGAATTTACTCGCTATATTGAAGAATTATTTATGAAGAACTATAGTTTTGTAAAAACATAGAGCTGAAAAATAAATCATTTGGTATTGATATGTCATATATGCTAATAATGTTACATCAACAAAGTATTAATATAATTCAAAAATAAATTGCAAGTGTCATTATACCTGGTTTAATAATGTTACCTTTTTTATGATTGATAAATAAACTATTATGACTTGTTACCGGCTCTACAACACATCGCAACCGAGTCATAATAAGGCATTTAAAAAACTGAGTAAAGCAAGGATCACTGTTACAGGATTCTTAAATTCTCTTACCTTGAGCCTCTTTCTATCAATAAGAACCAAAAATAATACGAAATATGCCACTATTCTAATTAGTAATCATGCCCAAACTTTCGCCGCCATCAGATAAAAGAAGATGTGTTAGTCAGCAACGCCTGGCGTTGCATTCGAGAGCATGACATATTTACACAAGGGGCAGAATAATGCATCAGCTACAAACATTGGTTCAGATGCATTTTCCATTCGCGGATGCAGTGTTTTGCACTGCCTGGATCATCTGACCGACCTGAACACACGGCCTCCAACCACGAACAGTTTTGAGCAAGAACGCATCTACCAGCTTCGCCACAACAGGCATGCTCCAAGAAGGTAGTTCAAGCTCTTGCACCATCTCTGTAGCCACCGAAAGACTTGTATCATTCTCCAGGTCAAATGCGAACTCGGTGTTCTTACATTTACCTGTACAAGGCCAGAAGAATAAAACACAGCGTCAGTGGCATGGTACAAATGGAGATTTGTGCAATCCAAAGATGATATTTTGATGCATGTAATTACCATTGGGGACAGGAATCCTTAGTAATAACTTGACAGGGTTGCTACCACTCATATCTCCTTCCAATACAAATCCACCCCTTCGAAGCACTAGGCTGAAAGACCCCTTCCCGCTATCAACAGTTCCATTTGGTAGCAAAGATACAAAAATTGGTGTGGCTTCAAGATCCAGATCCAAATTTGGCGGGAATGCTATTGGTTCTTGCACAGGATTAGAGGTTTTTTTATCATTGATGATGATGTCATCTTTCATGAGAAAAGGGCTCTTCAAGAGATCACTTGCTGGCAATCTATCAGCTGCTGAAGCTAGGCAGCTCTCTATGAAACTTCTTACTTCTGCATCTTTAACCTTGGAGAGAGCAACTGGTTTTGCACCCTGCAATTGTACCATTAGCATCATTCATATACAACAAAAAGGAAGTATCTGGGTATTTCCTAGCGAACTCTTGAAGTAGACAAGTACTATCTTAGTCACACGTCACTTACTTCAGAAATCTTTTTGTATATCTGAACAAAGCCCTGACATTCACTGTAAGGGCACTCACCAGTCACCATTTCAAGCATACACATGCCAAAAGAGTATATATCCACCAACTCATTGTAGTTTTCGCCAAAGAGCTCTGGTGCCATGAATTCTAGGGTGCCTGTGTTTCATGTTAAATGTTACTGATAACAATATTCAGCTCACCACAGATCACGTTTGCTCCAGAAATATGTGGCAGCGTGGCCTGTAGAAAACCGTACCTTGTATACTCTGTGTTTTCCTCTGCTGCATGACCATTGCCAAACCGAAGTCCCCAATCTTAACTTTCCCATGGTTCCCATTGATGAAAATGTTGTCACACTTCAAGTCCCTGTGTATGATTGGTGGCTTCTGGTTGTGCAGATAGGCTAGCCCTGTCAGTATCTGTTTGGCCCATCGCCTCATTGCCTTCATATCAACTTTCTTGTGCTTAGTACGGTACCTAACCACAACATAACATAGATCATTAAAGAGGATGGTGAAGCTAGCTACTCAATCCATCCCAAATTGTAAGACGTTTGACTTTTTTGACACTAAGTTTGATCACTCGTCTTATTCAAAAATTTGTGTAAAATATCACTTCTCGTCGTGGTTTGGTTTATTAATAAAAATTCTTCAAGAATGACTTAAATTTGACTATATTTGCACAAATTTTTTGAATAAGACAAGTGGTCAAACTTGGGGCTAAAAAAGTCAAACGTCTTACAATTTGGGATGGAGGGAGTACTTCTGTACAGCTGTTTCCCTTCTGAGTGGAAGGCCAAACGAACCAGCTTTGTATTTCTTTTAGTTACCTGAAAAGTGAAAACTAAAAACTACCAAGAAATTATTCAGATTTAAAATTTGAAAAAGAAATAGTTATTCAGGTTTTATTTGCAATTGGTAAATAACTGAACATTCACCATGCCACAAAAGAAGGTACTAGGCACAAAGAATAAAGTCAATCAAACTCCATCAGTAGCAGCACATACATGGAGGGTTTACGTTATATTAATTACATACTCTCTCAAGTTGCCGGACGTGAACAGCTCAGTGATGAGATTGACGGTCCTTTTCTTGTTGTCGACCCACGAGGCGTAGAGCATGAGGATGTGCTTGTGCTGGAGCGACCGCAGCAGCTGGATCTCCGTCTTGAGCCGCTGCAGCTCCTTGGGGGATCCCATGGTCCGACCGTTTATCTCCACTTTAGCCCATGCCACCTCGATGCCTTCCACCATGTCGAAGCCTTTGTAGCTGCCACCAAATCGATCACGTGAATCAACAAACACAAGCAAGAATTCCCACTTTTCTTCAATTTTTTTAAACAAAAATAAGCTGGCATTCAAGGCTGAATCTTTGTGATTTATCGAATATCCAGTGTGAATTTCAGGAAACTAGTTACTGTCATTTAATTTGCTACTGAATTACTGCATAAACAGCTGAGGAGAGGGAAGGGAGGTACACTGTCTTGAAGGCCCCTGATCCCAAGACCTCCTTGTACTGCAATGCACGCACGAAACCGCAGAGATCAGGCAGAAAGATCTATTTTTCAGACGAATTCGCAGCAGCGCAGGATGCAATCAAGATTCGAAATTCAGGAACTGAAAGCCCCCCGCGCTAAAAGGCGATGAACCAACCCGGCAACCCGACGAGACTAAACAACATGTCGACATTAGCAGGAGACGCGAAGAGACGGCGGATGGACGGCACAGCACGTACCCGGAAGTAGCGGCCGGTGGGGTCGACCTCGTCGACGTCGGGGTCGTCCACCTCGTCGTCAGGCGGCTCCGCCTGCTCGCCGCCGGCCAAATCCGGATCCGGAGCCATCGCGCCGGCGCGCTCCTCCGCCCGCGAGATCAGGAGTCGAGCCGGCGATGGATCGACAAGCAGCGCGAGAGACAGCGGGCGAGCGCGACGAGTCTGAACTCTGAACTACTCTTGTGAACTCGAAACAGCTGTTCCAAGTTCCACGGCGACCGCGCCGCGGGTGTTTAGGAGCGGGGACACGTGAGGCTGCAGGTGGGCCCCTGTGACCTGGTGGGACTTGATCATGGACGTGATAAGCATCCACGTGGCAGATCAGATATACTACTTAGATAAGGGTTTCGACTTTCCGTAAAATTTTCAAAGGGAAACAAGTTTCAAATGAGGATTTACCAAAACGTTTTAGATAAATGAACGAAATTTCAGATAAGGATCTCCTTAAATATTCAGATATAGGTTATGCGATGATCGTGTGCATAATTAAGAGCAAAGGATTCACGGGAACGATTTTGTTGAATTTCCCGTGTTATTTTGTCGCCCCACTTCATGTTAATTTGGTCATGGATATACTTGCTGGGCAAGGGGGTCGACAATCTCTTGTGAGGAGCGAATCTAGCTGAGAATACAGGATTATTAGCATCAGTTTCATTGCATGATATTAATTTTCTTGAATTACAGTATTATTTTAGTAAAAGATTTACAAGTTGTTGGCAGCCAAAATATTATCAAAGATTAAATTTATTTGAATTGGACAAAATTTGCAAAGATCCTTGAAAAATCAGCCCAGGCTGATTTGGACAACGGTTGGACGACTGGTCCAGACTGGTTTCATCAGATAAGCAAACCGGCCAGATCAGTTTTTGCAAAGATGCCACGAAAGCCCAATAAAAAAAGGGCCCAGGGTACACTAGTAAATCACATTGCGTACTCCCTTGCGTTGCAATGGAACTCAATCCGTATAGGAACCAGACTTCTGTCATCACTAAATGCGAGTTGTCATGAGTACGAGTCACATACGAGATAGTAGGGCACAATCTAATACATATTAGAATCGGACACCATATTTATCATCGCTAGACGGGAGTTGTCCTAACTCGTATGAGTCGTAGGGCACGATCCATCGAACTACATATTTATCATCGCTAGATGCGAGTTGTCCTAATTCGTATGAGCATGGGTCATGAGTCCGAGACACCTACGAAATTCTTTACTAAAAGGAAAAATACTATTAGTATTTATGTACACCATACAACTTCGTTACAACCGGCACTTTCTTTTTCGTGGGCCACTCATAGTATTTTTGGTAGGCCACTTGTTTTTCATGGGCCAGCCTACTTGTATCGTCAATTTCATTCGTGGGCCACTCATTTGTGGACAACCCAATCATAGGCCCAGCCATCCAAGATTCACTGGTTTGTTTTATTATATATCTCTCATCTCTCGCAACTAAAAAGCCTAAAACACCAGCATCCTACGACAAAAATCATCGCCGCACCTCGTCGGACTGACCCCTGCGACCCCCGCCCGCTCGCCCGGTTTCACCGCGCTTTCCCCTTGCGATCCCGCGACGCAATCACGAGAGAGCACGCGCCGCCAGGTGGGACCACCCTTCCCGCGATCGCCCACATTGATCCGCCGCAGCACGCGCGTTGATCTCAGCGCAATCCCGTGATCGCCCAGTAGGAAACAACGCCGCGCAGCATGTTGATCGTGGCACCTGCCCCCGGTCTCGCACTCCCGCCCAGCCGCCCCCAACACAAAAGGAAATAGAGAATTGGCCTCCCCCTCGCATCGGCCGCCGCCCTCGTACCCTCCCTCGCACACCGGCTGTGCTTCGTATAGCGCGTCGCCATCGTCGTCGCCTGCCGTCATCGCCTTCGCTGTCTGGCTGTCTTGCTGTGCCCTCAAGAGATCGCAGCGCCTGCTCCCTTCCTCATGTGATCCATGGCTGCCCGCTGACGAGCCCAGTTGCCAGCCAGGTCGCAACTGCCGCTGACGAACCCAGCCGGTTGCGTCGGGCCCCTGCTACCTTCAGCGGGTGCGCGCCGCGGTGGCCGCCGACCGCGCGTGGTGCAGCTGCGCGTCCACCCCACCCAGGAGGCGAAGCCCCGCCGCCAGGACGTCATCGGCTATCTCATGCGTCTCATCGGATCCTCCCTCGGCTGCTAGGTGCGTGCGTACCCGCCGCTCCGATCCCTCTCGCCACCCCCTACCCTACCCTACGCTGTTTATTTTGTCTCGTGCGCCAGCGCTAGCTCCCCCTCTGTCGCCCATCGCTTTACCTGGCAGCCGCGCGCTGCCTCGTCATCTTCAGCGTCTGAGGGAAAGACGGGAAGGGGTTTAACTTTCCGTTTCGTGTCGTGCGGCGGCGCTGCTTGGTGCTTGGTGCTTGCTGCTTGCTGCTTGCTGCTCCCATCACCATTGTCGGTACTTTTGTGCTTGTTAGTTAATACAGCAGACGTTCCTAAGTCTCCGTCGCATGAGCGTTTCGCGTTTTTCTACAAGTCTCCCTCGTATTAGCTTCTTTCCCGGTTTTCTCAGTAGCGCAGGCTAGCGACGCCTCATTTCATCGGCGGAGTCTTTACTACGCCGCCCGCTCCGTTAGCTTTTCGCTAAATCTATTTATCACCCGAGTGATTCCTGAGGTCGTCTCACTCCATTTAGGCCTTATTTAATTCCTTTCTCTAGAGCTTACTCTTTATCACATCGAATGTTTAGACATATACATAGAGTATTAAATATAGATTAAAAAATAATTAATTGTACGGATTGCGATTAATTTGCGAGACGAATTTTTTAAGCCTAACTAATCTATGATTTGACAATGTGATGCTACAATAAACATGTGCTAATAATAGATTAATTAGGCTTAATAAAATCATCTTATGGATTACCGAGAGACTTTCATAATTTATTTTATTATTACTGTCCAAACACTCCGATATGACACCCAATACGTGTCGTAATATCTCTGGACTTTATTCTCTGCCACCCCTATCTACTGTCCGATCTCTCTAGTACGTTTCGATTTGCGTTCTCCTACGCCGCAGGGCCGTAGCTGGCTAGTACCCGCGCGGTAGGAGGCTGGCTCAGCAGCACAGTCACAGCACCCTGGGCTTTGTTTAGTTCCCGGATTTAGGAGTGGCCAAATAATTAATGTGTTACTGTAGCGCTTTGTTTGTATTTGTGAATTATTGTCCAAACATTGACTAATTAGAAGACATGAATAAAAAATAGTTACGCCTTATATATTGGAATGGAGAAAGTAGTACGTACTCCCTCCATACTAATAAAGAAAGTCGTTTAGGACAGCATTTAGCATAACAAGAAGTGGTTAATTAGAGTGTATTTTTCTCTATTTGCCCTTATTAAATAGGGCTAAGAGTATTTCGCGTACAACAATCGTTGGCAGATGGATTGGTTAGTGCACTGTGGCCTGAGACTGGAGTAGCAAGGTTCGAACCATGTTTGGCCCAATTTTTGCCTACTTATGCGTGATTTTGCATGTGCATGGCACTGTGCAGTTGGGCGCTCTGGTTTTTGCCGTTCGTTATTTTGCCTCATTTTTTTTGCGACCGTTCGTGATTTTGCCTCATGCGTGATTTTGCCTCTCTTTTTTTGCGACCGTTCGTGATTTTGCCTCATGCGTGATTTTGCCTCTTTTTTTTTTGCGACCGTTCGTGATTTTGCCTGATGCGT